GATGATCTGGTGAACTGTAAAGTGCCTTGAGATGACGTGTTGTGAATTTAGTGCTATATAAATAAACTGAATTGAATTGTACGAAAAATAATCTTTAAACTACCTCAACAGGTGTGTATCCCTTTAGTAATGTACAAAAAATAATTTAATTACTTAGTTTTTGGTGTGTTTTGTTTTAAGCGTATGGCGATCTGACCCTAAATTGTTTGGGTTGTTTTGTACATGACTAAAGGGAAAAACACAAATCTGATGTCTTGAGCATGCATAGTGACTATGGGTATGCTCATCTGAAAAAGCAAGGGGATATACAGTGTCTGCCTCTTCTGAGGCCTTTCTTTTCCTCTCATATACTTCATAGACACTTTTTCCGCATATGACCCTCAGCCATTTTCAAAGAACCGAGTTAAGCGTTACCAAAAAGGAAAGTTTTAAGCCTAAACTTATAAGAAGGCAGGGGGTCGCTGCCTCACGGACTAAAATGGAGAGGTGGTCCAAAACATAGACTGTACCCGGAAACCTGGGATTTCAGGTCACCGTAAACTAAACACTGAAAATGTAAAACATTAGTTTACCTGCTTTATTACGTACTACCAACTCCTTTTACCAACAGGGGAAGGGTTTTGTATTCTTTGAATCTTTGACCATTTCCATTTTACATCTTCCACAAACTGGGGTCTCCTCTCATTTTCTCTTCTTTTGAGCTCAGTCTATTTATTTTCTGTGTATTTTTAACCTGTAGTATCACTTCTTGTAAAGATGCCCTCCTTTTATTTGATGTTTTATTTAACAAAGGCCTCTCTGCACCATTGGAATGAAGGAAATAAACTTGAAAGGAAATAACGTTTGCACCTGATCCAGTATCGGTTGAAGAGACTCATAAATTCTTCATGCTCACCTCTGTGGCTGATAATATTTTAACATCTTCAATTGATTTCTAAAGCATACATAACTTATTTTGACCCCATTTGTAACAACTCTGAAAATTCATTCCTGATACGTAGATTGAATCATATATTTAATTTTCCTTTAGGCAGCAGCACTGTCCCATTTGATCTCAATGTTTAATTCAAAGTTCTAGAAGATGCTTTTGATGGATCGGTTCTGTAGAATAGATGACAAATATGACTCCTCCTTTTTTTCCTGTCTATCAAATCTCAGTTTTCAAAGAGTTTAAATAACTTTTAACTTGACAAATGTTTATCTTTTTCTCTCTATCAGTAATTCCTTTTATGAACTTGGGAGCATTTCTGTTTTGTTCATCATCTGATGGCTTCAAATATCTCACATGCTCCCTAATGAGAATGACTGTCCTCACATCATCGGGTCCTCGGCATCTTTGCTGACAGGCTTTAGTGTTATGAGAACCTAGCTGGATATCTGAGGGAACAGCCAATGGGAGGAGATTTAAAGGAAAAGTCCGGTCATATTCAGAATTCAAACTTCTGAAAGTTCTTTA